CTCTCTCTCTCTCTCTCTCTCTCTCTCTCTCTCTCTCTCTCTCTCTCTCTCGTCTCTAATTTTTTAAAAAGTTGACCCCTCCTCTCTATAAGCTAAGAAAAAAAGAAAACCCCACCTCCCTCTCTCCTCGCCCAGCAGCTTTTGGACTCTTTGTTTTGTGATTTGTGATCTGTTTTAGAACAATAGCTAGTCGTTTGCTTATATTTATTTTATTTATTTATTTATTTATCTATTCATTTATTCGTTTATTTATTTATTTATTTATTTAGTGTGTTCTTCCTTTCCTTTAGAGCGGAATGTGTCGTGTTTCTGCTCGTTTTTATAGTTGTTCCCGTTTTGCTCTCTTCTCGTGTGCTGTGCTGGGTTTTTTTGTTGTTGTGATGGTTGGTGACTTTTTTTTGGTTTTTCCTGCTTAAACCTGTGTGACATTTAAAAATAATAAATTTCTTTTTCTTTTTCCTAAAAAAGAATTCATTAATATTATTTATTTATTTATTTATTTATTTTCCATGCTCTTCTAAAATGAACAAATCAGCAAGTATTATATTGGATTATTGATAGAACCCAATCACGCGTAAGTGTGTAAATAAATGGACATAGATCTACACATAAATTAATATTGGATTAATTGAACTTGAAGAAGAGACGAGATGATTTACTCTACTTCAACATTACTATTTACTTACTAGTCTACTATTCCTTTAGATTTTTCATGTGGACCCTACCCCTCTACGAAACATTTTATTATATAATAATATGATGAGAAAATATGTTGTTTTTTTTACCATTAAAAACAACCCAATTCCATGGCATTTTCCTTCGATGCGTGTACCCCTTTGACGTTGTTTGGTGCCAGAGTTTTGTTTTGTTTTGCTGACATTAGTTTGGTGTTGTTTTGTTGGGTTTTGTCTTGATAGTACTAAAACGAGTCGTGTGTGTGTGTGTGCTTGTGTTTGCTTGCGTGTGTATGTATGTGTGTTTGTGTGTACGTGCGTTTGTATGCAAAAGAAAAAAAAAGAATTAAATTAAGAAAACAACGATTTATATTTTTGGTTTAGTGTATGGTTGCGAAACATTCATACTTCTTGAGTGGAAATACTTAATTCATAATAATGAATTTTGAAGATTTCAATGTGTACTGCATCAGATACATTATGTACTTGCAAATGTTTTCAGTTTGAAGTGCGTTTAATTTTGATTGATAGCTGCAACAAAGCGTGCTCGATAATTTAAACAAAAGTTTAATAAAAATGTGCTGGGTACATTGTGTACTCTGTGTGTATATTTTGGGTTTTAGATTATTATTATTATTATTATTATTATTATTATTATTATTATTATTATTATTATTATAATGATGATGATGATGTATATTTTGGGTTCCAGAAACTAGTGAAAGTACACTGGTAGGTTTGGGGAAATTTTGAAGCGACTTACAGTCATTAAAGTTTTGAAAATGTTTGTGTTTTCAATACTATTATTTTATATGTATGTTTCTGTTTTGTGTGTGGTTGATGGGTGCTGTAGTGTCATTTTCTACTTTTTTTTTCCTATCAAACATCTATCGTTCTTATCTCTCCTCCTCCTTTTTTATGTTAGTTACTCTCTTGTAACACCTCTAATCTTCTGGCGTTCATTTTATTATGACCTTATGCAGTTGAGAGCGCCTTAAAACCTCTACTAAAACAAATACTTCTTTTCTATCAAACACCTATCGTTTTTATCTCTTCTCTTTCTTTTTTTGTGTTTGTTACTCTCTTGTAATACATCTCATCTTCGGTACTATATGACCGACGTAATTAATTATTTTTTTTTGCAAGTGCTGTAAAATGCTTACTAAAACAAAACTCTTACTCAAACTCAGATTGAAAAACAAAACAAAACTGTTACTTTCACAGACGTGGTGGACGAGCACAAGCTCAGCGAGTCCGCCGCCCTGGCCACGGCACACGTGACCACTTCTTCAGACGAAGAGGACCACCCTCACCACACCCTTCAGAACAACAGCAACGGTTCTGTCCTGACCACCTCCTCCTCCAACAATAACACAAACAACAACAACAACAACAATTTAAGTAACAACAACAGCAGCACGAATGTCACAACCGGCGACGACAACGACGATAACAAAGATGGCGGCGTTGTCGCGACCACGACTACGACCACCGAGTCCGGCGGCGGCAACAAGGAGAGAAAGGACGTGCGCTCGGCTGTCACGCTGAGGTGCCCCGTCCTGGATCGGAAATCGGAAATCGTGAAAGTGAAAGAAGCGGCCGCGTCGGACGTCAAAAAGTTTGTGGTAGACATTTCCTCCGCTCGGACCGGAAGTGACGCCGGCGCAGACGACGAGGAGGAGGAGGAGAGTGACACGACCAAGAGGGAAATCGACAGCAGCGTCGCCTTCACCTCCTCCTCCTCGCCCCCCGCCACTTCTGCTGCTGCTGCTGCTCGCTCGGCCGGCGGTGACGTCAGCGGCGGTTGCCATGCCAACGAGACAAGCGACGGGGTAGCAGCGCGAGAGAGTGCAGCCATTAGGACAGGCGACGGAACCGCCACGATCACCACCACCACCACCACCGGCCAAGGACCGAGGCGAGAGGAGGTGGAGAAGAAGGCTGGGAGGTTGTTGGTTGTTGGGGCAGCAGACGTTTGTCGGGAAGATAACTGCTCACACGGAAAGGAGGAAGAAGGAGAGGAGGAGGAAGAGGATGGCAAAGGGGAGGCTCCTGCTAAGGCGAAGAAGGAAGATGGAGAGGAGAAGACGAATGGGGATAAACAGCCCGAAGGAGGGCAGCTGAAGAACGACAGAAGCAATGAAGAGGACCGTGAAACGAAAGGTGAGTGTTTGGAGGGTTTGTTTTGGTCATGAACAACTTGTTGATTTCACTTGCCTCTCCCGAGCAAAAACCGAAGTGCAATAATCTTGGGCAGTGACAGGTTTTGGGGTCCAGAAATCTCGCAAAAAGACAACAGCCACCCAACCCCGCAACAAAAACAGCAAAGTATAATCCTTAACAACAACAAAAACAATAACAGTTACCACAACAACAATGTATCAACAGAAACAACATACACGTACTCGGCCATAGCTGGACTTAGCTTACCTTATAATATTGACGGCTGTTTCCATGTAGACCCAAGTCGGTGTTTGCAGCCATTTACACATTATTATTATTATTATTACTAGATCTAGATCTAGATTATATTATTATTATTATTATTTATTTATTTATTTATTTATTTATTATTATTGCTCTTACAACTTATGTTATTGCTAACACTATCACCTCATCTTTGTCATTATCACCCATGATGTTACTGTTATCATCATTATCATCATTTTAACTTTATATTTTGTAGATCTAGAAGTAGAAACTAGATTCTAGATTAGATCTAGAGTCTAGATTATATTATTGTCATTATGAGTAGTAGATCTAGAGGAAGAAATAGTTTCTCGATGATGTTAACAGTAAAATAATTATTAGGTCTATTATTATT